CGCTATTGAAACTTTCAAAAGCGTCCAAAGACCTGTTGTCATGTACCAGTTTCTATAATTCCAAGCATTCCTCATTTATTCAGTGACCGTTCTCAAAGGTATGTTTAACGACACTAGACGTGTCTGGTCTACGAAACTGAATATATGAAACGTGCTCCTTGAATCGAGTTTCTATAATTTACTTAGTTTGCCTATCATACTTTTTGTCGCACACGTTTGCCCGACACTTGTTGGAGTAGTGTACGCTAATCACCAGATTTCTCCATTGTCTTGACAAATACAGCATTATTCATTGTATGAACATGCTTTCTCAAATCCATCGGTTTATATGGAAAAACTTTAATAATCTGTCTTTCTGATATCATATTTTTCTTTGCCTAAAGAAACATGTCTAGCCTATAGACAAGATTATGTAGTCCCGCCATGCAACCAAGGGAAAATCACCCAAAAAATAATTCCAAGCATTCCTCATTTATTCAGTGACCGTTCTCAAAGGTATGTTTAACGACACTAGACGTGTCTGGTCTACGAAACTGAATATATGAAACATGCTCCTTGAATCGAGTTTCTATAATTTACTTAGTTTGCCCATCATACTTTTTATCGCACACTTTTGCCCGAGTTGGAGTAGTGTACGCTAATCACCAGATTTCTCCATTGTCTTGACAAATACAGCATTATTCATTGCATGAACATGCTTTCTCAAATCCATCGGTTTATATGGAAAAACTTTAATAATCTGTCTTTCTGATATCATATTTTTCTTTGCCTAAAGAAACATGTCTAGCCTATAGACAAGATTATGTAGTCCCGCCATGCAACCAAGGGAAAATCACCCAAAAAAGGTTTTACGAAAATCCGGGGTTCCGGAGATTGAAGTCGGATCTAGGAACCGTAAAAAATATATACAAAGCACCAACAAAGCATCAAAACACCTCAACAAAGCTCAAAATCGTCTGCAAAGTCCAAAAGCGGTAAAAAAAAAACTCAAAAAGGATCTACAAAGCGCCTAAACGTAATAATGCCGTGGGGGCGCATTAATTGTGGTGAATTTTGGACTTACATCTAATTGGTTTTGGATGATTATTATGCAAAATGATATCTCTAGTGTATTTTGAAGTAGAATGTTGATGTCTAATACGGAATTCACTGGTCTAGGTAATACCTATGCAACTAAAAAATTCTAATTATTTACCCCTTATCATTGAAGGTGTAACCTTGATATTTTTATTGTTTTGCAGACACATCTCGATTCTGAAAGTTGCATTCATTTTTCTATTGTTGTCAGCCGTTTCTATTACATCCCTATTCAACTGAATCAGAAATCAGGTCGTCCACCAGTTGTTGCAATTTTAAACCAAGCATTTGCGGTGGCCTCTTCATCTTTAATTCATTCCCCGCTGTTTTATTTCATTCCGCGAATGAAGTTCGTCTAAGTGCATTATTGATTTTTGTTCCGGTTCACGCAACTATGATACTAACATTTTTGTTTTAACTTAACCATCTGTTTACAGAGCGACGCCTGACAAGGGTGGGTGCGAGCACTTCTTAGGGGTTTTACGTATGTACCATTAGAGCAATTTTGAACCGTTCACTTCGATCGCTTTTGCACATCGTAGTACCGTCAATTGAGGGAAAAATTGATTTGAAACTGGCACATACGAGCAATTTTCAAAATTGTTGCAATAATCTTTATATAAAATGGAATGTGAGCAAATAGTTCTGGAAAGTACCAAATATGTATTGCATTTCACTTAGAGTACAGTTTTTCACAAATAGATAATACTTGTACTATAAACATTTCCGATAAATATGATTACGAATTAGCAATTTTTAAATATTATTTGTACTGAAACTGACCTAAACATTTGGATAGAATGTTGAACTATCACTAATATTTGCCAAAGGCAAAATAGAAAATATATTGAGGAATATCGATTAGCCACAGATCAATACCAATGAAAAACTACTCTAAACTGCCATTCTCGTCATCAAATATAACCAAGGAAAATTAAAAGTTTTCCTATATGAAGTAGACCAGAGATGGCATTAAAACATCAGGTCTTTAACTCTGATGATGAAACTTATAAACTTTCTAAAGATTTCCAAAGAGATTATAGTTTCTCATGATTTTATCTCTACATAAAACTTCCTACATACATTTTTCGAACACTGAACTATTGAGCCAAGTTTTTCGTTGAACAAGAACAAAGAATTCTTAAACTTTTCCCCGAATACTATCGCAAATTGAATATATATTTCGCTGAATGGCGATTCAGTGCGACTCAGTTTCCGAATCTATTTTTGACTTAATTGACTATTCTATTCGATGAATTCGGCTTGGTGTCGGCGCTGTAAGGTCTCAGGGGTGTAATTAGACAGTTGTAATGAATGGTTAGTGTGCACATTGGGTAAATTGTTTCTTGCTTTTCGATCTGCTGTTAAGGTATGCATTCGAGCACGTTTGCTATACTCGTATATCACTATAAGTGTAAGGAGACCTATAATAGTTGTTACTCCAGTACTGATGAACAACAGTATTAGCAAAATATAAATGAACTAATTTAAATTTTGTTAAATGTTGCCCACTAATCGTAATTCAGATTCAGAACTCAGTAAGTATAGGTTTGGTGAGTTGGCCCATTACACAATGTTTTTTATAAAAATTGCCTTTCAATGTGATAAATACAGATGTGACCAGGAGCAAAACTTGTCCCCCAGTAGTAATTTCTTCCTGATTGTTGTCGATAGTATCGTTAGAATGTAATATAGCGAAATGCACACATGGAAATATTCTATTTTTGATTACAGCTAAGCTATTCTCAAAACAATTTATTACATTTTTCAAATTACCTCATGTATGGAAGTCTACTTAGATTATTTGTGTCAGTGTGTAGAATCATCTTTTGTCACTTTCAATTTGCACGTTTGCCTTTTAGTATATGCAAGACCCCTGCTACATGGCAACGTATGAATAAATAAAAATAAATCCCTCACTTGTTTTTTTGAAACCTCAACTATTCTGTCTATATCCAGAGACAATTATTATTATTAGTGAGACGAAACCACGAATTCAGATGTGTATTTGTGTTAGATATCGCTCATTGATATCAAAAAAATAATATTCTAATTGTGTAATATTTGCTCGCGATATCAAGCTCAATATAGATTGTTTTTTAAAAAAATATTTTTTTAAAGTCCTTAAGAGATCTGGCGATCCTTCTGAGTATTAAATTTGCGCTCTTCATATGTTTGAGCTTCAGCAAAAACGTATTTTTCAAAAGGATATTCTCATTAGGATTTTTGACAATGATAAAAGGTTAATTGGCGAAGTTATAATGTGACCAGCAGTTAATCGAAAGTTTACGGGTTCTAATACGCCTTCAACCAAATTCTGTCACGTGACATGGATAATGGGATCGCGAATATGCTCTCTGGAAAGCCTGGTAGTTATCAACATCCAGAACACGACATAATGTGGGATGAGGGGCGTGGGAACTAAACAGACACTTTTTTGAACATCATACTTATGAAAACATTCTGTTTTTGATGTTTCTGTTTCATCTAATTTTCAGGTATCTTGGTAAGCACAGCTTTCGCACAGTGAATGTAGCCTTTTTTTTCAATTTCTTTAATACATTACTTTATTTTCAGCCTAATGCTAGATCTTTTTATAGAAAATCGCTTATCTTCCTCATAGAAACTTACTAGTGCTCTCCACAAATTTAGGAGTATATGAAAGCAATAAAAATATTATATGTCACTACCATCACCGTGAGTCTCGTGTCAATTTGATTTTTCTAATGTTATCATGTCCAGTGACGGATGTGTTTGCCATCCCGTCGAATATCAATATTGTCAATATTCAATCACTTTTGGAAAGCACTATGTTTGAAAACCACTGGAATTTTTTATGAGGAAAATATATCTGTGGTGTGGCTCTCAATATTATTTTATAAATCACGAAATTATTGAAACATTTTCACAATACGTTTGTCGAAAAATGCGACTGACATCGGAATCCTTTGAAACTGATTGACATTTATTTGTTAGGCGAATAAACATTTATACTATCAATATCCGTTAAATGTTGATACGTTCGTTTATTTTTAATATCGCCCCGATATTAATTGGATTATTCGACTCTCTGAACGTAATGTGAATTTCCCAATACGATTGCCGACGTATTGTTTACATCAGCGTTGAATAACGAAATTTCGATGACATGGATTAACTTGTTTGCTTTTAAGCAGTTTGAACATGATGTATTATGTCCTCCTCTTTCATGGAATTTCAGTATTTCCTCATCTTCGATTTGATTTAAAAAAAATCTTGTTCATTATCTTCCTTCTCCATTTCTCAATTATCTTCCACGAGTTCATGGTGGGACGATCGACAAAAACAAATCCAAAAATATTTTTATATGAGTAATGTCATTGATTTGTCATTCCTTTTTGGAGTAAGGATTTTAACGTTTGTCACTGAGATTCAATAGGATATGTTAAATTTATATTTGAGTTTACTTCTTGTCAATGTCAACATATAAAAATCTAATTATTGGAAAGAATGACAAGTTTTGGAGGTTTAGTTCACGCAAAAATGTATTTCCAGGGATAATCACAATTTGAAACTGTCATCGAATTTTTTAGTTATTCAGCGCTGAAGATATTTTTTTTATTTGAATAGTGACTGTTTCCAATTAGATGAAATATTAGGATTCAAATTCCAATCTGGTCGATGATTTCATCAAAAGTGCTTTTGAGTGACAATCGTTATTTGTTGTTCAAACTACAATTGAAAAAACTCGTATAGTATAGCTTAAAGTCTCAATTGGTGAGTGGTGTATAACGAGCCATAGTGTGAAAGATATCGTTGAATGTAACCATCTCATTGCGAAAGATTGCCAAAACAATCGCTATATCCTGGTTTGCGAACAGTCACTTCAAAAGCTCTCTCAATTCTATATACTTCAGTGATTATACATGTGTTTTCTTTCTCAGCAAGAAGACGACGCATGGGACTGCTACCCAAAAACTATTTGGTAGGATATATCGCTTAAAGCTGTCCACGCTGTTGCCACATTTGACCGAGGTTATCACTTCACTTGATGGGTTAAGTTGTTCGACTTTATTTATGTTTAGTGACTTAACGTATGTGTCGTTACTATTATTATTTTAGTTGTTTACCTCTTGAAAAAGAAATAAAAAAAAGTTTATTCGTAATGTTAAGTGCAATAGGCTGTCAAAGATTCCCTTCGAGGACTTCTGAACGAGCTAGTTTGTATATTTCTGACTACTGAGACTACAAAAATTTTTGTTTGTTCAGAAATTTTGAATTGAATCGTTCCGATGTCTCTTTGGGAAAACCATTCAAGTTTGTACATAGTTTATCACTGCCAAATCGCCCGGTAATTCATAAACTATTAACTTGTTGGAATATGTGATAAACTTTCGAAATTATATCAGTGGATTTCTAAATGAAGCTCATTTTTGAGGTGAACTGCAAATACATCGACCGGATGGGTAGGAGTAGAAATTTTGGGAAAACTTGTTGTGGAGATGAAGCTTGTTGAAACTACGCTGAATTTTTGAATGATTGGCACAAAGTTCTTTGAATATTTTGACTTAATATTTTTACTGCCTAAATACTTCTCCTCCACCGTAAATACTTTTTTTAGCCGTCATGTGTATGACTGGTCTCAGGTTAGATTAGGAAACTTTTGATAAAGACATTTTATATTCACCAGATTTCTCCATTGTTTCGACAAATACTGCATTATTCATTGCATGAAAAAATCTTTTCTCAACTTGTTTAGCGAACAGACAACTATTTCTATGGTGTTACTGATTCAGCAGGTCTGAATTCCTCTTCTATTCATGGATTATTATTTAACAGATGGGTCTGGAGAAGTTTTGGTCCACCGATATTATCATTTTCTCCATTTGATATTGCCAATTGCTAATTTCACCTCGTTTGAAAAATGACTCAAGTTTTCTCAGAATTCTCTTCAGTAGCCGACAACCTTGTTTTATCAAATACATTAATATTTAACAATATTTTAGTTATTTTAGCGATTGAAATCAATTGATTCATATGTAAATATTGTTTTGAATTTGAATAAATTATTGAATGTCACTTTCTCGCATTGGTCATTGTTAAAGAGGTTGAGATCGTTAGGAAGGCAGCTATTCTAATTCCGGGCTGATAACGACGGCATTACTGGACCAGCCTTGCCAAAATATATCCAAAAACACTTTATTGTGAGATTTTCACTGCTCAGTTTTATGAAAACGCAAAATGTGTTTCGCCATACAATGGCTTCTTCAGGCGTGTCTTTACTGACGAAGCCATTGTATGACGAAACAAGTCTTGCGTTTTTGTAAAACTGTTGAGTGAAAATCTCACAACAGAGTTTTTTGCATACGTTATGGCCGATTCCATCGAATATCTTGCCAAAATATAAACAGAATGTTGGCGGGGAGAATTGTCTGCTGATTCAACCTTGAGCTTTGGAAGATCTATATACACTACATGGCATTTTTGTAACATGACAGGTGGATTTCAATGACATTTAGGTTTTAACATATTATTATTTGTTATTAATTTTATTTTGTAAATATTTTTACTTTGCAGAGGTCCGTCTCTGACCAAAACAATTTAACATTAATTATTTCTTGATAGTTCTCTCAATAAATCGCTTCTACAAACTGGCTTTTCAAAATGAGCTGTAGCGAAATTTGGTAGAGTCTTTGAATTGAAATTGTGATGTGATGAAAATTCTACTTTGTACACACGTGAATTCTGCTCAAATTTGTCAGTTTGTGGTTGCTCACGCCGAAAAAATCTATTTTCTATCTATATTTTCATTGCAAATAAATTATTATAGTTTTTTAATCATTATCAACCCTGCAATTGCCTAGAATTTGATTACAACTTTGGTATTGTAATTTTCACAAAATAAAAGTTGAAATACTGCGAGTTGTTTTCTTAAGACCGTTTGGATCATTTGAGTTATTATGAGTATTGTCGAGTCCATAAATCATACCTATGATTTGAAAAGTCAATGAACGGAAACGGAACGAAAAGGAATTTTTTCCGAAACGTCTTCATCTTCATCGGTTCATATTACTCAGTAACTGTCAGGATGAACTTTGCCTATAACACGTCATCATTTTCTCTATTGATTAAACATAAAAAACTAAGAAAAATCAATTGCAACAATTTGGCAATTGACCTTCTCACTTGAAATGTACAAAGGCGTTGACGGAATAATATAAATGGTGAGTAGGGGATTCGTACAGATCTCATGAAATGCCCTTCCACTTTTTTATAATCTTTTATCCGACGGAAGTCGCGACGTTCTACACTTCAGAAAGGGCGTTAGAGATACTTCTGAAGCATCTATAATCACTTCGATAGCGGCTCTCAGTTATCACAGAAAACCGAATTCCGACAAAGGAAACGAAGTCGGGGGAAGCCTTCTAGAAGAATGGGATAGCGTATTTTATATTTCGAGTAGGCCAACGTAGTGTACTCTCGAAAGACAAATGAACCGGAAACAATTGACTTGGGAACCTCGTCTTCAATGGCCGATGAAGTATTTTTCAGTCTGACGGCGAGTCACGAACTTTCTTATACTTAGAAGCAACCTTTTTCTCATAACGTGTTTATCCTGAACGGTTTTGAGGCATTTTTTCCTGTTTTGGAGACCATTGACAGCGAATCTGGAGAAAACTCACTCTACAGGGTGTAACTGAATGAGTGTAAAACAGTTAAGAAGGTGATTCCACATCGAAAAAAGATAGGATCTTTCATATAAAGAAACTTCATTGGAGCATCTCTTGTTAAGATACAGCTCCTTAAAGGGGGTACAAAAAATTTGTATAACAATTTTTTCCACATGCACCACAAATATTCCTGGAGTCTCTCTGATTACCCTGCACGCATCGATGATGAGGTTTCTCAAGTCCTCTACATCGCGAACAGGAGTACGATAAACCAAATGCTGTAAATGGCCCCAAATAGAGAAATCGAGAGGATTAAGATCCGGGGATCGAGCGGGCCAGTTCTGTGGTCCTCCTCGACCTATCCACTGATTTGCATATGTTTCAGTTAAATGCTGACGTGCTACTTGACTAAAATGGGCGG